CAGTGTAAACCTTAAGCAGGTACACAGTGTAATAGGCAGGAATGCTTTGTAGTAGACAGCCACTCCAGTCTATAACCTTCAGGGTGTCCTCCTTGTCCTTGGGCTCCAGCTTGGTGCTTTCGGGGGCACACAGATGCCAGCCATATAGTTGGTCACCCCCAGGTACACACCATCATCAGCTGCCTCCATAGAGTCCAGCACTGCCAGGACACCCCTCCACTTTCACTACCGCTTCTAATTGCCCGGACCCGCCAGTGTGTTCACAGACTTCAGGAGGGGTGCTTAGCCCTATGCAGTGCAGACTTTCTGAAAGCTAGTAACTATATAAGGCTTTACACTGCTCTAGGAGCCAGCTAGTGTGGCCTAGGTGAAAGCAGATGCCTTTTGGTACCCGCTGTCTAGGTGGTTTGTTACTTTCTGTGGGTACATAGTACAGATTACTAGATTTTATTATTAGATCATGTTGGTCTTATTGTGAATTTGTAGATGATCAGAAATACAGTATTTCCTTATTCTAGACATATTTGATGCTTGATAATGTTATTGAGTCTGCACAACTATAGTACAGTATGTTGTTGATTTTGACTGTCATTTATTATATTGTCACCACTGTACTGTTTCTGTTCATGCATATCGTTTCTTCTTTACCAATAAACGTTTATGCTAAAAAAAAAAAAAAAGAAATACAGTATTGTGCATAGAAAATCTACTTTTGTGAGGTCCCAGTACACTAACTTGTGGGTTTCTTACACAATAAACTCTCCATTATCCGGCATCCATGGGGATTGGTAGATTCCGGATAAATGTAGTTTCTGGTTGCTTGAGAGTCACTAATATAAATAGGTCTAACTAAGGCCATACCCCATACTATACCATATCATAACACAAACTCTGTATTGACTTCACATTAATATTGAAATGCAGTCATCAAAGGCAAATTAAGACAAATAGACACACAATCATTTCCAGTATAATACATGCCGCAGATCAGTGAGTACACAGGTGACTTATTTTTTTCTGGTTAGATGAGAGTTCTGGTTAGTTGAATACTGGATAACTGAGCATTTACTGTATCTAAGCAAACAGCCAAGCTTGAGCACATATTTATTTCACATTTTGAGGTAGTGGTGATATATTACATAGCACCTCACAGAGCATATATGTAGCTCCCCAAATAGATTCTCCTAATGGCAGCAAAGTTTCAAGGCAGCCAGCAAGAGGAGCACAAATACAGGTGGCCAAAGGGTCTCTCACCATTGATGCTGTGTAGGTCTTCTAGGATCAGAAGTGCATCCCCTGGAGGGCACACCACACTCTACGGCTCCCTTCTCAAGCCCGGCTGAAGAATGTGCTCTGCTTTGGGGGTGCCTTAAAGGAGAACTATGAGGTGAGTGATTTTCACTCACCTCATAGTTCTAGCCGACCTGTGACAATGAGACTGTCACAGGTCGGCTCAGTAGACCGGGAGGTGAGCGAACATATACCGGCGTTC